AAACTTAACTCTGCAGTTTTAATTTTGAAATATATCACTTAATTGCTCTCTACAGTAGTGGGCCTAATTTGCATATCTAAGAGCAATGTATGTGAACGCACGTTTCCACAGCCTCACGCACAGAATGTATGCTCAAACTTCTAAATTTTTGCCCATCTACTAGGTGAGAAATGGCATTTTTCTAGAGTTACAGTTTTCACGGATCTCATTGTGAATGAAGTGGATATCTTTTCGTATGTTGAAGAGCCTTGTTTCCCCTGTGAACTTTGTTCATACTCTGTATAATATCCAGCTGGATGGTGTAGCAGTTGTAGTTGGCACTGCATCAAGTTCCTCTTGGCAGCCACATCTACAGCTGAAAGCTGGTTATGTGAATGTTGGTACCACTTTGCCTGTGGGCCTTTTTCCCCCAGACATGGTGGCGTACACAGCAAGTGTGTAGGAAAAGCCAGAAGTGCCAGAAAGTTAATGTCTTGGAAGCTTCTGTCTTCCAATATTAAGCAAGGATTTGGTGGATGAAAAGCACAGTTTTCTTTCTCCTTGATGTGAATAAGGGGAATATTATATATCATATCATTATTATAATACTGTGATTATATATCTTAGTTATATCTGATACTGTCTTCCAGAGTTGCCTAGCAAAATTGAGCTCCAGTTGCCCATATGGGTAACCAGCTTGAAAATTCATCCTTTATTCCTTCCCTGCTCTGTCTACTTTACTACTCATTCCCAGTATGTAATAATTTGATGATTTTTAACTTCCAGTATAAACTTTTCTACAAGAAGCCTTGCGTCAGGATCAGTTTCTAGAAGTGCCAAGCCAAGTCAGGTTGTTAGGCCCACCTTTGAGTGCTGCGCCAAATGTGGTCTGCTCGTGGTGCCGGCTTGAGAGCTGTTTGTTAGCAGTCTGTGATAAATTCAGAAATTGGAGTCAAAAGTTTAGGAACATTTATGGCAATTTGATGTTGCCATGATATTTGACTGTGTGATTTTGTTTTACGGACATATGCATTCATTTGTAATGAACTGGAAAAAAACAAAACAAAAAATACTGGCCCTCATCTCTGATAGTTGGTGAGGCATTGCTTTAAATGATGGCACTAAGAAAAATGGTGGAAGCACAACTAGGAAAACTTTGGTTATCTACAGAGAGAACTCCCTGATAATTTCCTAAAATGAGAGATTCCCTCTTGGTGATGGTCAATACTCTATCATGAGAAGAGTTAAGCCTGCTTAGAAGGCAAGCTATAAGAGACTATAGAAAATGCCTGCATTTGGTAGCAGATCTCTTCTGCTTTTTTATTTTCTAAAACTGACAAATAATAATTGCACATAGTCATGAGATACATAGTCATGTTTATACATGTACAATGTACAGTGATCAAATCAGTGTAATTAGCACATCCATCATCTCAAACATTTATCATTTCTTTGTGTTGGGAACATTTAATAACCTCGTGGCTATTTGAAATTATGTTATTTTTAACTACAGCCATCCTACAGAACTATGGAACACTAAAACTTACTTATTTTGCTGTAATGAAATGAGAACAGGAACTCTGTCTTTTTTTTTTTTAATCTCTATCTTAGTATGAAAAAAACGATTAGTAAAAATGAAATGAATACACTGGTTGGGCTCCTTCAAAATCTGTTGACTTTCTGAAAATCATAAGGTCAAGTTTTCTTTTCTTTTTTTTTTTTTGAGACGGAGTTTCACTCTTGTTACCCAGGCTGGAGTGCAATGGCGCGATCTCGGCTCACTGCAACCTCCGCCTCCTGGGTTCAAGCAATTCTCCTGCCTCAGCCTCCCGAGTACCTGGGACTACAGGTGCGTGCCACCATGCCCAGCTAATTTTTGTATTTTTAGTAGAGACGGGGTTTCACCTTGTTGACCAGGATGGTCTTGATCTCTTGACCTCGTGATCCACCCAACTCGGCCTCCCAAAGTGCTGGGATTATAGGCGTGAGCCACCACGCCTGGCCAGATCAAGTTTAATTCTAGTTTTCTAGTTAATCACAATCTGATAGTTTTAGATATACAGTACTGTGAGTTTCATTCTAGCAGCCTTTCATTTTTACAAAACTGAGAAACTGGCAGCTATAGGTAATGGAACTAAGCCTGTTGTGTGTGTGTAACCCTAGATTCATCAACTAGTGTTAAAGTACTAAATGAGAAGTGTTATGAAATTTCCTGCTTGGGTTACTGGATCTCAAGAACAAATAAGTTCACTCAGTATACAAAGCAATAAGGTGAAACCAGGGAAAAAGAAAATATTTGCCTTTAAACTCTAGAGAAGAGCTATCCTCTGCTTGACTGCCTTTGAGTCTTCAGGTCTGGAGATTTTCCCTACCTCCACCAGAACAAAGCTCCCTTTAGTGTTTAGGAAATCTTGTGGCCAGACTAGAGTGAGAAGACTAAAATGGCAATTGGAATGGGATTGAACTTAATGCAGGAACTGAAGATCCTATGTTTCTACAACCATAGAGGATGAATTGCAATCAACATAGGTAAACATGGAGTATTGAGGACTGGGCAATCAGGAATATTTAAAATGCTAATAAGCTTCTTGTCTTTAAAAATGTTTTTAAGAAGAGTTGCCAGTGGGTTTGGTTCACTCAGCCTATTTTGTGAATTCAAAGGGACACTTAGGAGGACAGCATGGGTGTCTGCCATCATACTGTTGTGTTGAAAGGAGATGGCCCTGGAGCCAGAATGCCTAGATTCCAGCTCTGCCTCTTATTGGTTGTATGAACTTAGGCCAGGCACTGAGTTTTCAAAGCTCAGTTTCCTCTTCTGAAAAATAAGGATAAGAAGAATACCTTAGAGACTCGTTGTTGTAAGGATAAAGTAAGATAATGCATGTGAAGTTGTTAGCATAAGCTCTGCTCATGGCATTATTAAAACTCTTCCAAAATTCCCTTACAGCAGGAAGCAAGCAGTACTGGATACTTTTGGCCTTTACCTGGTAATGGCAACAGCACTGCCTTGCGCTTCCACACTCCCCTTTTCTCAGTCCCTTTGCTCTTAAGTCTCTATCCTTCACCTCCCTTATATGGGTTTTATCTGAAACTTGAGGACTTTGCCTTGAGTTTGAGGAGAGGTAATGCATATGTTACTGGAAAGGGAGGTTTAATCCAGACCCCAAGAGAGAGAGTTCTTGGATCTTGCATGAGAAAGGACTTGAGGTGAATCTGTAAAATAAAAGCAAGTTTATTAAGACTGTAAAAGAATAAAAGAAGGACTACTTCATTGGTCGAGCAGTGGCATGGGCTGCCTGACTGAGTGTACTTATAGTTATTTCTTGATTATATGCTAAACAAGGGAGGTGGATTACTCATGAGATGTTCAGGAAAGGGGCAGGTGATTCCCAGAACTGAGGGCTCCTCTTGCTTTTGGAACATATAGGGTAACTTCTGGATGTGGCCATGGAATTTGTAAACTGTCATAGTGCTAGTGGGAGTGTCTTTTAGCATGCTAATACATGATAATTAGCATATAATGAACAGCTAAGAAGGCCAGAGGTCACTTTCATTGCCATCTTGGTTTTGGTGTGTTTTGTACGGCTTCTTTATTGTATCCTGTTTTATCAGCAATGTCTTTGTGACATGTACCTTGTGCTGACTCCTATCTCATCCTGTGTCTAATCCTGACCCCTATCTCATCCTGTGTCCTATCTCACCTGCCCTTCTGGGAATGCAGCCCAATGGGTCTCAGTCTTATTTATTTATTTGACATGGAGTTTCACTCTTGCTGTGCAGGCTGGAGTGCAATAGTGTGATCTTGGCTCATTGCAAATGACCTCCTCTTCTTGGGTTCAAGTGCTTTTCCTGCCTCAATCTACAGAGTAGCAGGAGGCATGCGTCACCATGCCAGGCCAATTTTGTATTTTTAGTAGAGATGGGGTTTCACCATGTTGGCCAGGCTGGTCTTAAACCCCTGACGTCAGTTGAGCCACCCATCTTGGCCTCCCAAAGTGCTGGGAGTACAAGTGTGAGCCACTGTGCCTGGCCAATCTCAACCTTATTTTACTCAGCCTCTATTCTAGAAGGAGTCACTCTGGTTCAAATGCTTTTGATACATTGAAGAGCATCTTATTCTCTTTTCCCAAATTCTACTGAACAAACTTTTAAAAGAAGGATGTTTCTAGAATGTAATCCTAATTCATTATAGAAAATTGAAGTAGGATCCTGTAAGACTATCTGTGGGCTTTCGTGTGTGTGTGTGTGTGTGTGTGTGTGTGTGTGTGTGTGTTGGACAGTTAGTAGTGAAGATGATGGTTGTGATGATGGAGAATGAAAATTGCAACTACTGTGTGTAGTACCTTGACTGCCATTACACCTTAATTTTGGAAAGGAGCTCCAGAGGCTTTTGTGCTCCCCAAGGAGAAATCCATAATATACATTTATCATTATCATGGCTCTTTTGTGATCTCTGAACAATAAATGCATGAAGAGCTCCTGAATGGATTTCTAATTGAAATGGCTTTTCAGTATGGGCTTTCTATTTGCTTCTAGCTTCCTCCAGGTTCTCGGCCTTCTTTTATAAATAAAGAGTTTTAGTACTATTTTTGAAAGCAGGATAACACCTATTAGGGCTGCAGCAGTTCAGTCGTGCAATGCATTTAATGCCCAGTCACGCAGTCTGAATCCAACCCGATGTCTGCTTGCCAGGCCATTAGCTCTGTCCCTGTGGCGTCGCGTGGAGAAGGGAAGCCTTTTTTTCCTCCTAATTCTCACAGAAATCCAGGGTGGGATAGTGCAATCCTCCCCATTTAGCCCTCTGATACTCTCCCCTCTCTGAGGATTCTGGACTGTGCCACCCTGCTGAGCTCAAGCTTACATTGCAAGAAGCTGCAGACCTGTTAAGGTACTTTAAAACCCATACTCTTTTCCTTATCCCTGAAGGGAAGTATTTTAGTCCTAGATGCTGGAACGACTGATTCAAAACCTTTCTATGGAATGCTGATGAATTAAAACCAGAATTAAACAAAACTAGAAAATATTTTTAAGGTAACATTTAATGAATACACATTTACAAAAGCCATCATTACTTAACATGGGGAAAGTGCACAAAAATAATATGAACGTATAAAAATTTTCCTAGAATACGGAAACAGATCAGCAGTAAAGAAGTTCCATTTACCTTTTTTAAATGTACAATAGTTTGAACCCGTTAAAAGGAATGCAGTTCACCCAAAGCACCTATTTTCATCTGTTGTAAACTCATTCTTTCTACCTTAAGTAAATTGGAGGAGTCAGCTGTGTTAATGCGGTCAAATTAATTTCATAGTTTGGGGAGGAGGGAGGTTGTGGGAAGGACAGAAGGAGAACTTGGGCTTTCTTTGGTCAGCCGACGGGGCTTGGAGTTCTTGTGGTTGAGGCCAAAGGTCAGGTCTGGCAATGCAGCTGTTATGCCAAAACCACCAGGGTGTTCTTTTTAGCTTCAGGCTTTGTGGATGGCTTTTAAGTATTCAAGTAGAGCATTTTTACTAGGCTATAACACTAGAGTTCATTTTTTTCTATAGGTCCGCATTTTACCTATGTATGGCATTTTCTATTTTTAGTGATATACTAGGAGCCAGGATAAACATATTACTCCTTTAACAAAGAGGAGTATGTTTAACTCCAAAGGCTTCTCTAGATGAGCCTGGATGGTACTTAATCAACCAACGCTCAAGTCACAGAGCAGTTTCCAGCCCCAGCACACCTGACTGTTTTGCAAAACATAGATGAGTAGTGACATTTTCCGTCTTTTCCACTGATGCTGTAGGGTTAGCACCATATATATCATGATCCTACTCAACGTCTTCCAGCATTTTGTATTCTTGCTTAGGGTATCAAGGAGAAGTTGAAGGAGCATGTGTTCTGTGTACCTTTGCAATCAGTTATAAATAATGCAAATTGAAATAAAAAAGATAATTTATAATGGTGTGATAAAAGCAACACCCTCATCCAATGGTAATGAAATTGATAAAGTCACTTTAGAAATGTATTGGCAATATATAGCAAATGCTAGTAAAAGTTGTTTAATTCTATAATCCCAATTCTTGGCAAGTATTCTGAGGAAATAATGAAAAATATGGAAAAAACATTATCAGTGCAAAGATACCTGAAATGTTATTTGTTTTAGTAAAAAGTGGTTATAGTCTACATGTTTCATAAGGGAAGAGGTTTAAAAATGCATATTTGATGTGATATTATGCAGCCATTAAGAAAATATATAATGTAAGGCCAGACACATGCCTGTAATCTCAGTGCTTTGGGAGGCAGAGGCAGGCAGATAACTTGAGGCCAGGAGTTTGAGACCAGCCTGGGGTGAAACTCCATCTCCACTAAAATTACAAAAATTAGCTGGACATAGTGGCACACGCCTATAGTCCCAACTACTCAGGAGGCTGATGCATGAGAATTGCTTGAACCTGGGAGGAGGCTGTGGTGAGCTGAGATAGTGCTGCTGCACTCTAGCCTGGGCGACAGAGCAAGACTGTCTCAAAAAGACAAAAAATAAAAAATAAAGAAAATAAAGTCTTTTTTTTTTTTTTTGAGATGGAGTTTCTCTCTTGTTACCCAGGCTGGAGTGCAATGGTGCGATCTCGGCTCACGGCAACCTCCGCCTCCTGGGTTCAGGCAATTCTCCTGCCTCAGCCTCCAGAGCAGCTGGGATTACAGGCACGTGCCACCATGCCCAGCTAATTTTTTTGTATTTTTAGTAGAGATGGGGTTTCACCATGTTGACCAGGATGGTCTCAATCTCTTGACCTCGTGATCCACCCGCCTCGGCCTCCCAAAATGCTGGGATTACAGGCTTGAGCCACCGTGCCCGGCCAGAAAATAAAGTCTTTATTAAGTAGAAAATGATATAAAATTGAATATATAATATAGATAGCATTATTTTCAAAAAAATTTATAGAAAAATATCCTGGATTGTTAATGATGTTTTAATATATTTTAATCATTTTTGTATAATGTCATGTATAATATGTTACGGTGAAAGTAAAAAGTAGTCTTAGTAGAACAGGCAGAAAAATGACAAACTCAATGCCTTTTAGTTATTTTGGTATGTGGGAAGATCATATATAAGGCTCCTTTTAGCTCCATGCTTCAGCTAGGAAGGTTAATCCTCCTGAAGGTCACCTTGAAAGGGTACTATCAGCACTGAAAAACAGTGAGAACCATCCTAAATTCTAGGAAGGATTTGAGAAAGATCCAAGTTTTACATAATGACGACTCTTCACACCTTTCTGCCCTATGACTTTCCATAATTTTCGATCATCTATGCATTGTTCAAATTTATACCTTCAGATTATTGATTTAATTTTACTGCTTACAATTATAATAGACTAAGACAGATATAGAGGCTACCTCTTTATACTAGAAATTAATTTAATAGATGACAAATATTGAAGAATATTTTGAATATAACATTTACCAAGCATATTATAATACCAAAATAATACTAAACCTAATATAGTGCAACTTTACAATATTTATTTAGCTTGCTGTCTAAAATTCTGGTTTATTTGAACTTTTTGTTCAAGGACTTTTATTCACCCTTCTTTGCTTATTGCACAATGCAAGGGGAATCCAAGTGGATATCTCTTCATTTTTATTCATTCTTTCCTATACCTATTCTTTGTAGAGGAAGAATTATATGACAACTCTACAGATTTGCATGTATCCAAGGCATGGTTACTTTTAATCAATTGTAAATTTTTGTTATGTTATAAAATAGTTCCCCACAGTAAATATCTGTACTGATAAAAGCAAAGTCAAGGGGTCATTTCACTGGAATTCATCAGGTAATACATGTTTGCCTTCACTTCTAAAAAATAAACAAAAAAACTCATTCCCTTTTTAAATTTCATGTGACCCACTTCTTCAGATATACCTAATCAAGTCTTTATCAGTTGTCACCACTGTGCTGTTTTTTTCTTTCACTTAACTCAGCCCTGGAGCCAGAGAAGGAAGTTGCATGTACTTCCACTGGATTTTGCAAGATATTAGGTCATGCATGTTGCCCATAGCAAGAAGCTTCTTAGTGTGAAACCACAAAGCTAATCTCAATCTCAGCCCCATGGTCACCAGGAAAACAAGAGGCAGGGACCGCACTGATTCTTCACTATCCTGAGATAAAATGGTGTTCTCTTCAATAGTATATCAATTTCTCAAAGACAGGCAATGTTTCCCTCTGTGTTCATGAATCTCAGTCATGGTATAAGAAAAAAGCTTCACTAACGGCACCCATCGTTCTTCTTTAAACATTCAAAACTATAGTTTAGAACTCCAGGTAAATTGAACTTTGCTTTAAATATCTGCTTTTCACATTCAGTGCTGATTTCTAGTGTTTTGAGTTCCTTTCCCAGCCCTGGCGGATCCTTGTAAGGGTGTTGTCTACACATGGCATGATTAGGACAAACTTGATCACCAGCACGATGCAAGGAATGATGAGCCCTAGCACGTAGGCCGCAGGAAGATACCATTTGAGATTTGAAGGGTTCAGGAATTTCTTCCCACCGTATACCAGGGTGTGGGCTGTACACAAGATCAGGGTCAAATAACCCAGTTTGGACTGCAAGCAAGAAACAAAACTATGTAAGTTTACATTATTTACATCTTAAAGTGAAACACTCTAAGCAAGTGATAGATATTTGTCAATAACTACAAACATTTGAGACCTATAATGTTTAAGACACTTTGTTAAGTATTGAAAAAAAAGCACTAACCCTTCTTCAGGATGGTAAATGCTTCATTTTAAACAAGATTATTGCTTACAAATAACATAGTAGCTTCATCTTAACTTAGCTGGATGGAAAAGTTTCCCACGTGTAAACTCTTCCTAGTTAGAATAAATGATGTAGCTTGCCTTGGTTCCCAAAGGTGGAACTCTTATTTATCATCTTTTCTAGAGGTCAGAGATGAATAAGAGTATGACCTCAAGAAGCACCATCTTAGTATATGTCATTGACTAAATGCAGATCCTAGTTCATTTCTATCGCATTAAAGAGCAATAGCCAATCTTACTTGTTTCAGCCTATATTCTAAAGCTTAATGTTTATTTCTGTCTTAATACCTTGAAGAAAAGTTAATGAGAACATGTTGATGGCATTTGGTCCATGGGAGAAACTGCAAGACTTAAGATTCCAATAGTTCTATAAAATTCTAACCTAATTTTAAAGACTGATGGTCTATTCTATTATACTCTTAATAAGCATGCATCAGAATCATCTTGAAGGCAGGTTAAATTTCTGGGCTACACATTCAGAGTTTCTGATTCAGTAGTCCTGGGCATAGCCTGGGGCTTTGTGTATCTAACAAGTTTCCAGGTGGCGCAGATGCTGCTGGTCCTGGTGCCATACTTGGGTCTACAAGAATGTGTAGTTACTAACTGCCTTTAAAGAGGGGTTGGTTGGTGGTTGATATGTGAAAGAAAACAATTTTCCCTCTTATAGAAGAGCATTAAGTCCTCTGGTGTGATGACATCAGTCAAATCTTGCTTTGAAGATTTTAAACTTTATCTCAACATCTGGTTTTCCATACCAATATGTCCATGTTGTAAGATTAATTTTTAGATAGTGAAATTTTGACTTGGGATTTCTTTTCACCTTGTACCTAGTATGTCTCCACAAATAAATTATAATATTTCTTGATAGTTTTCACGCTATAATCTTAGCTGTGGATCTGGGGGCAGCCAGGAATCTTGGCAAGGAATGCTGTATTAATAAATCAAACCATATGGATTCTGCCTTTTGTACCTGGGCTCAAAATTTTCTAATTTGAGTTTTTAAATGTGATTCCTAGAGAAGTGATGGAGCAAAATGAAAAATTAGAAATGATCTTAAAGTTCTTACCTGGACAAATCGGAATTCTCTCCAGTTGACTGCATTGCTAACGGATGGCAAAGAAGTGATTCCCAAGAGTACAAACAGAAAAAATCCAAGTATTCCCAAAGCCACATATGAATCATAAAGCCAGGCTGTGGAGGTACTAAATGGAGTCTCTTTCTTGAGTATTGCCTAAGAAAAATTATAAGCAATTACAAAAATACATTTTTACAAACTGTCCACACTTTGAAAAGGACTGAAAAATACCTCTGCATGAATTATTTGCTCAAATTGTATGACATTTCTTAAAAGTTATTTTAAAATAACTTTGTTGAAAAATACACTTAGAAATTACCTTTTTGGCAAAAAGAAGTAATTGGTTCTGTTTGAACTTGATTCTAGGAGTTGTGTAGAAAGCTTTAATTTTCCCTATAAATTCTAAAAGAAACTAAACACTTACTGAAACCTTCATTACCATCTGCATTTTGTTCCCCAAGCAAAACTTGATGTTCTCAAACAGTTACATCAGAATTCTGTTTTTCTCCTTTATATGTTGATTATTCACACTCTCAAAGTTGGGTTCTTTCATGTTTTTTAATGTTATAATATAATACATCAGTCTTGTACCACAAGTTGAGAGGAATCAGGCACTTGTAGTGTGACTCTTACCCAGGAAACTTACATATATTTATCAGGAAAATAATGTAGAGAAACTCATAGGAGTTTCTCATCAATAACTAACTAATATTTTTTGAGACTGAAATAAGAGCTACCAAAACTAGCTATTTCTAACTAGAACTAATTTATAGCACTTCCTCTGGAAATGTCTTCAGACTCCTTCAGCTGATTCTAACTGAATCTTTTGATTATGCATAAGATAATATTTGATATTTCCTCAGAATTGTTTGGTTTTCTAGTTATGGAGGCCAACTTCCCCCAAGTCAAACATTAAGGGAATAATAAGCACTCTTTTGTGAATTTGTTTTCTTTGCTATGGCACATGTTTGAGTAGCCCCCTTACTTATAAGATGGTTGTTTTTGACTTCCAAAAGGAAGTAGCATGCAGAAGAGTAGAAGCTTGAAAACACATTAGGTAACATTTGACTGCCACCCAAAGGTATTCTGGCAAGTGTCATTAGGTTTCTTGAGCCATGAAATCTCAGTTTGCCAATATCCCCATGAGCTCTGGGAATACAGATCTGGACCCAAGAGAACCTGGGAATTAAAATTTTATTCTTGATAGTTGACGCAACTGGATTCATTTAAAAAAACTGATGTGACATTTATAATTCTAGTTACTTTAAAAAAGAAGATGCTTAGAGGAGTGACTTTCTTTAATTATGAAATGGAATATGATGTAGCAGTAGTCTCTGATTTCAGGAGTAGAGGAAAATACGTAAGAAAAGATATACCTGGGTAGCTGTTAAATTTCCCAACCTCCATCTTACATAATATCGAATGGGAATCACAAGTGTGTAGAGGACATGAAGGAAGGCAAATCCCAGAGCTATCAAGCCAAGCTGCTTTCGGCAGAGCATCCAGTGGTCAAGCCAGTCTGGGAATCGACGGTATTTTGTGCCTTGGTACAGTTGTATAATGGCAGCAATAACACCAGGGAGGTAAACCAAAGCAAGCAGTGTAAGTGCTGTTATTGGAAAGATACGATTTGGAATGGAAATAGCCATACGAAATGTATTATCTTTCTTCTCATAAACATAAGGGTAGATTACGTCTCTTACAACACAGTAGAAAAACAAGACGATGCACAGAGCTGCAGACAAATAGAAGGGGAACCTCCACATTGGAAACAGTTGCAGGGGGTACTTTTCAATTTCTTTGGCTGCCATGAGTGATCCTTGATCCAATGGAGTTAGTCCAAGCGCACGAACAATATCCATCACTGTTTGCTTGGCTTTGCTGTCATTTCCGCATACAAACACCTGGTTTAAAAGCAATTAATTACTTCTGTATTTCCTCCTTTTCTTTATTTAATAATTATTTCAAAAGGCTATGTCAGCACCATGCAGAATGATGATATGTACTAGTAAACCGTTTTTAAAATAAGCATGTAGAATTAACATATCTAACAAGATATTTTAAACTTGTACATGGTGTCCTAGATGGGTAAGTAATAGGGTTTTTAGTTGAGGATGGTTTTAGGCACATCACACTTACATAAGACCTGGTTTGCCACACTGTGAGTAGTTTGATCTTTCTTCTGTATTTGTGGTGCCACATCACTTATGAATGCTTCTAATCTCAGTGCATAAATGGAACCAGTTTCATACAAGGTAATGGCAGTAGGAAAGGATATCTACCAAGTGTTAGTTTCTAGTACTGACAAGAAGCCTCCAGAGGCTGACACCATGGAGTTCCATCAAACTAAAAGCTGAGGGTGCAGACAGTGGGAGATGAATTGCAACAGTTGACCACCTAACTTAATTAAGCTAAAAAAATTTATTTACAACACATGTTAGCAACATGTAATATTTAGTGGATATTTTATCTGGGAACTATATTTTGGAATCTTTGAGGCAAATGCCCATTAAATGATTCATTTTTTAAAGATTGAGTATAAATTTGTTTAATCTTACCTGCCGACTTGCATCCAGTGCTCCTGACTGGAGAGCCCAGGCTGAGATGGTGTTAAATGCTTTTACCACATGGGCTCCTGGCACCAACTGAGCAAGGTACTCTGCATTAGATTCTGGATATTGATTGATTTTAAGGTTGTTGCTGGTGTCTACCAATATTTTTCCATTGAGAACCTCAGTTAATTCTGTGAGAAAATCATAATGCTCTCTGTGGATTGCTATGATTATGATGTCAGACTTCTTAGCTGCTTCTGAATAACTCAAGACTTCTGCACCATTGGGCAGTAGGTTGGTCATCTGGGGATTCCGACTTCCAAAAATAACAAAATAACCACACTGGAGCATTTTCAATCCTAGAGATCTTCCAAAATCACCAGTTCCAAAAATACATACAGTCTCTTGCTTTTCTGAGGAATTCATAGTGAGAGGAAGTGCATCTATGTAAGTTTTCTCCATAACTGAAAAATAATAACACAAATACACAACAAAATATAAATGCTCTGTGCATGGAAAATTAGAGAGCTATATCCAGGAAGTAATGTAATTGACTTGTCCTAATCTAATTATCTCAACTGTATTTTTCCCCAAATTTGGAAGGAGTAAAAATTATCATATATGTTTCCCCCAGAATTTGGAAGGAGTAAAAGTTGTCATATATATTCTCATATGTGTCTTATTTAACAAAATCATTGATGAAAAACTTCTGTTTGATAAAAGGATACAGGGCAAAATCTAACAAAAAAGGCACCAATAAATTATAGATTAATTTACTTGTTTAGTGATATAAAAAAACCTAAATAAAACATTAGTAAACAGAATCCAGAAGCTTGCTAATAGAAGGTATATCATATGGGGATTATTATACAAATGTGAAGATCAGTTCTATAAATTCAATTTTAGAAACTTCATTAATTCAACTTTAAAGATTAAAATTTAATTTCATATTAAAAGATTTAAGGGAAAAGTCCTGTCATATCTGTCATATCTGTGTATGTTAAAAGGACATCTGTTAAAATTTAACATTTATTCTTGATTCATAGTAAAAGAGAAATACATAGATATTTCCTTAACATATAAAAATTATTGATCTTGGTTGACTGACTCAAGATGGCGCGGTGAGAACAACCCAGGATTGAAGCTCTCGGTGAACGCGTGGAGGGTGAGTCAGGGCTGCATTTCCAGACAGATCTTTGTTGCCCACAGAACGGGGAAATTCCCAGGTATAAAAGAGACGTGGGATGCCAGTGAAGCGGTTTTGGCTGGTGCCGCTGGTGGCCGGCGCTGTAGTGCAGCGGCATTCCACAGCATTCCGCACAAAGTGCACTGGTCCGGGTGCCCTGTTGAACCAGCAATCTGAGACTTGAGAGGGCAGATTGGCATATCCATCTGATTGAACAGGACTTGGACAGTGAGCCAGGCCAGGAGATTCCAGGGAAACGGCGTTTGGGCCAGGGCAGTAGGACAAACAAAATGGCAATTCCAAAGGCTCCAGGTGGAGAGTTTCACTGTGGGCACAGCTGAACCCAGGACGGTGCAGCTTGGTGGGAGAGGGGCGTTTGCCATTACCGAGGCAACCCGCCCTACTGAGGTACACTCCCATTGCTGACGCAGCCTGCTGTTGCTGAGGCAACCCGCCACAACAGAGAGACTCTGCCACAGGGCGTAGCCCATGCCAGCAGGGCGGAGACCGCAGCAGCAGGGCAAAGCCTGCAGCAACAGGGCGGACCTCACACCAGCAGGGTGGAGACTCAACAGGCAAATGGTGACTAGACTGCCTCCGAGCTGGGCAGGACAGCGCAATGGACACATAAAGAAAACCCCAATCCCCTGAGACAGAGCATCTGAGAAAAAAAGGGTTTTTTTTTTTTTAATGAGTTCTGCTACATCAGAATTAAATGTAGCAGCCTAACAGCCCTGAAGGAACAACAGAGCTCACAGCTCAGCAATTGAGCTCCTATAAAGTACAGACTGTCTCCTCAAGCAGCTCCCTGACCGCTCTATATCCAGAAGACTGACATTTGGCAGGCATCATTCTGGGACAAAGGTAGCAGAAAAAGAAATGGGTAGCATCCCTCACTGTTCCGCAGCCACTATAGGTGCACCCCAGACAAGCAGGGCCTGGAGTGGACCTCAGCAGTCATACAGTGGAGGGGCTAGACTGGTAGAAGGAAAACTAAGTAACAGAAATACTTCATCATGAACAATCTGGGCGTCCACTCAGAGACCCAATCGAAAAGTCAGCAACTACTCAGACGACAGGTGGATAAATCCACAAAGATGGGAAGAAACCAGCGCAAAAAGGAGGAAAACCCGAAACCAGAACACTGCAGCTCCTCCAAAGGACCAAAACTCCTCACCAGCAAGGGAACAAAGCTGGATGGAGATGACTGTGACGAAATGATGGAATTAGACTTCAGAAGGTGGATAATGAGAAACTTTTGTGAGCTAAAAGAACATGATTTAAATCAATGCAAAGAAACTAAGAACCTTGAAAAAAGATATGAAAAAAGATTCGAGGAAATGAACTGGTCATCAGAGAGATGCAAATCAAAACCACATTGAGATACCATCTCACGCCAGTTAGAATGGCGATCATTAAAAAGTCTGGAGACAACAGATGCTGGAGAGGATGTGGAGAAAAAGGAACACTTTTACACTGTTGGTGGGAGTGTAAATTAGTCCAACCATTGTGGAAGACAGTGTGGCGATTCCTCAAGGCCTTAGAAATAGAAATCCCATTTGACCCAGCAATCCCATTACTGGGTATATATCCAAAGGACTTTAAATCGTTCTACTACAAGGACACATGCACACGAATGTTCATTGCAGCACTGTTTACGATAGCAAAGACCTGGAATCAACCCAAATGCCCATCGATGATAGACTGGATTGGGAAAATGTGGCACATATACACCATGGAATATTATGCAGCAATCAGAAATGATGAGTTCGTGTCGTTTATAGGGACATGGATGAATCTGGAGAACATCATTCTCAGCAAACTGACACAAGAACAGAAAATGAAACACCGCATATTCTCACTCATAGGCGGGTGATGAAAAATGAGAACATATGGACACAGAGAGGGGAGTACTAAACACTGGGGTCTATAGGGGGAAAAGGGGAGGGCTAGTAGGAGGGGGAGGTGGGGAGGGATTTCCATGGGAGAAATACCAAATGTGGGTGAAGGGGAGAAAGCAAACAAAACACGCTGCCCTGTGTGTACCTATGCAACTGTATTGCATGCTCTGCACATGTACCCCAAAACCTAAAATGCAATAAAAAAAAAGAAAAAAAAAAAAAGAAAGCACACACACACACACACACACACACACACACACACACAAAAAATTCGAGGAAATGATAACAAGAATGGATAACTTAGAGGGGAATATGAATAAATTGAAGAAGTTGAAAAACACAATACGAGAACTTCACAAAGCATGCACAAGTTTCAACAGTCGAATTGACCAAACAGAAGAAAGAATATCAGAAGTCAAAGATCAACTCAACGAAATAAAATGAGAAACCAAGATTAGAGAAAAAAGGGCAAAAAGGAATGAACAAAGTCTCCAAGAAATGTGGGACTATGTGAAGAGACCTAACCTACGTTTGATAGGTGTACCAGAATGTGACGAAGAGATCAAATACAAGCTGGAAAATACTCTTCAGGATATTATCCAGGAAAATTTCCCCAACCTAGCAAGGCAGGCCAACACTCAAATCCAGGAAATACAGAGAACACCAAAAGATATTCTGCAAGAAGAGCAACCCCAAGGAACATAATCGTCAGATTCACCAGGGTTGAAACGAAGGAGAAAATACTAAGGGCAGCCAGAGAGAAAGGTCAGGTCACCCACAAAGGGAAGCCCAACAGACTCACAGCAGGTCTCTTGGCAGAAATTCTACAAGCCAGAATAGAGCAGGGGCCAATATTCAACATCCTTAAAGAAAAGAAATTTCAACCCAGAATTTCATATACAGCCAAACTGAGCTTCATAAGTGAAAGAAAAATAAAATCCTTTGTGAATAAGCAAGTACTCAGAGATTTTGCCACCACCAGGCCTGCTTTACAAGAGCTCCTAAAAGAGGCACTACACATAGAAAGGAACAACCAGCACCAGCCATTCCAAAACCACACTAAATGCTAAAGAGCATCAACATAATGAAGAATCTACATCAACTAATGGGCAAAACAGCCAGCTAGCATCAAAATGGCAGTATCAAATGCACACATAACAATATTAACCCTAAATGTAAATGAGCTAAATGCACCAATCAAAAGATACAGACTGGCAAATTGGATAAAAAGCCAAAACCCATCACTGTGCTGTGTCCAGGAAACCCACCTCACATGCAAGGATACACAAAGGCTCAAAATAAGGGATGGAGGAGGAGATTTACCAAGCAAATGGAGAGAAAAAAAAAAAAAAAGCAGGAGTTGCAATTCTTGTCTCTGATAAAATAGACTTTAAAGCAACAAAGATCAAAATAGACAAAGAAGAACATTTCATATTGGTAAAGGGTTGATACAACAAGAAGAGCTAACAATCCTAAATATATATGGACCCAATGCAGGAGCACCCAGATACATAAGGCAAGTTCTTAATGACTTACAAAGAGACTTAGACTCCCACACAATAATAGTGGGAAACTTTAACACTCCACTGTCAATAATAGACAGATCAACCCGACAGAAAATCAACAAGGATATCCAGGGCTTGAACTCAGACCTGGAAGAAGCAAACCTGATAGACATTTACAGAACTCTCCACCCCGAATTCACAGAATATACATTCTTCTCAGCACCACATCATACCTACTCTAAAATTAACCACATAATTGGAAGTAAAGCACTCCTCAGCAAATGCAAAACAACTGAAATCATAATAAACAGTCTCTCAGACCACAGTGCAATCAAGTTAGAACTCAGAATTTAGAAACCAACCCAGACCCGCACAGCTTCATGGAAACTGAACAACTGGCTCTTGAATGTTGACTGGATAAACAATGAAATGAAGGCAGAAATAAAGAAGTTCTTCGAAACCAAGGAGAATGAAGACACAACATACAGAATCTCTGGGACACATTTAAAGCAGTCTCTGGAGGAAAATATATAGCAATAAGTGCCCACATGAGAAGAGTGGAGAGATCCAAAATTGACACCCTGTCGTCAAAATTGAAAGAGCTAGAGGAGCAAGATAAAAAAAACTCAAAACCCAGCAGAAGACAAGAAATAACTAAGATCAGAGCTAAACTGAAGGAGACAGAAACACGAAAAACCCTTCAAAAAATCAATAAATCCAAGAGCTGGTTTTTTGAAAAGATCAACAAAATAGACCACTAGCCAGATCGATAAAAAAGAAAAGAGAGAACAACCAAATAGATGCAATAAAAAATGATAAAGGGGAAATCACCACAGATTCCACAGAAATTCAAAACATCATCAGAGAATATT